TAAGAAACCAATAAGGTGCACATGGGTTTACAAAATCCAGCGTTGAACCGATGGTACTATTGAACGATATAAATCTCGTTTTGTCATGAAGGGATTCACCCAAATAGAGGGCATGGACTTCTATGAAACCTTTGCACAAGTGGCTAAACTAGCGTGCATCGCTTAAATGGTACCTTTATGAGTATTTTCATATCAAGCACCTCGGCAATTGAAGTGCTTTTTGGAAAAAAAGTGACACAGACGACTTTGAGGTTATTTTTGTGCTAAAGAAAGTATGTACTTTATTTTTGTTTGTCATACTCTAACTCTCGGACTTTGGCCTTACCTCCTTGCAGGACATGGGAGTTGAAACCCACATTTGAAACTAAACGTTCCAACCCCTAACCCTCCTAAGAATGTGGGGAATCGAACTCTCCACCTCCCCCTTCCCAAGTAGGAAGGGTGGCCACTGAAACAAATCTCAGTGGTTAAGTATGTGCTTGACATTCTATCGAAATGCGGTATACTAGTAATTAAACCAATCACTTCTTTTATGGAGCAACAACACCGCCTAACTAAAGCAATTGAACCGGCCATGATAGACCCAAGTCATTATTGTCGATTAGTGGGACGTCTATTTTATCTCACTATCGCTCGGCCTGAATTATGTTATTCTGTAACATCCTGAATTCGACCCACTTTTGTGATCAATGAAATGGATGGTTATTTCTCATTTCCTTTTAGTAAGTCTCGCCCGGAACTGATCATTTTCGAGATACTGACCAATAGGGAATGGCTAACTAGGAAAACGGTACGTGGACCCAAGAACTCGACCGTGAATCGAGTCCGATTCCGAGGAACGACGATGGAATATTTTGGGCCAATGTGGGCCGATCCAAGGAGGGTGACGGATTTGGTTTGGCCAGCGATGTACGATCGGAGAGCGGGTGATTCCACACGGCCGAGAGTACGCGTGGCGAACAATCCCGAACTTATTCCGAACGATCGCGACCCTCGGAACTAGCGATAAATTCTCGTGTTATCTTGGGAATCGAGACCGTCACGACTCAAGTAACTCTAGGTCGATACGCGTAACCCCTAAACAGCCGCTCGTTAGTAAGAGACGCTAAAATCGCATTTGAGCAAAATCGGTCGTGGAATTGAGTCCGGACTTCGGTGTCGAATTTCGTGGACGTACGCGACTATTTTGCAAGGACGACGTCATATTAGTGTGGCCAATTATATTTGGGATCGGTATGATTGAAAAATGAAATTTCGGCCCGGGACCGGAAAATTACCGATTTGCCCTTGGACCCCTAAGTGCTAATTCCGAATTTTGGGATTTAAATTGGACTAATCAGCCCCCAATAATGCTGAAAATCCTAGGACTAAATTGCCCCAAGATATTTTAGCCTTGATTGATCCTAACCCTTGGATTGAGGACAAGATGGTCATTTTTGGGGGAAGTAGTTTACCAATCCCACTCACCATTTTTGCACCAAAACACTCAACTCTCTCCCTCTCCCCTCATTTCTCACCATCACCTCCGGCCACTCCTTCCCCTTGGCCGTGAGAGCCACGCCAGAGCACCGCCATCGCCGCCGCTCGCCGGAAATCGCTCGCCGAGGCCGCGCCGCCCTCACCTTGTTCTCTCCTTCTCACCCTCTCACTTTCGCCTCATCACCATCACCATCAGCCCTTCCTCGCCGTTTGGGACCAGCCGCCGAACCACCACCCGCCGTCGCCGCCTCCGACCGCCGCCATCGCCGCCGTCGGCCCGGCTTGAACTAGCTCAGTCCAGCCCGTTTTCCCTCTTGTCCAGCCACCTCGGGAGCTTAGGAATTTAGGTGAGTACAACCCTAAACCCTAGTTAGGCTAATGTACATTTCTAGATAAGTTTTAGGGGTTATTTAGGGTATTTTAGGGGTTAATCTGTTGGCTGGTGTTTAGGCTGATTATGTGGTGAATTTGGGAGTTTAGTGTGATGATTTAAATGTGATATGATGGCCTAGAATGGGCTGATCGGTGACTGTTTATTGTGGATTCGATTCGGGCCATTATGTGGATTACTATTGGGTGCATTGTGTGGCCGTGTAGTGGCTGACCTTGTGGTGATTTTGGAGGTTCATTGTACTAATTTGAAAGTGAATTGGTGGCCTAGGGTGGACTGTTCATGGCTGATTTGGTGTAGATTGGATTTGGGCCATATTTGATTAATCATGGTCTTAATGTAAATTGCCAAGTGTATTGTGAATGGACCATGAGGAGGTTGAATCGAACGCGACTTGACGTTAGTATTTTGAGGACATATTGGGTACTTGTGTGGCCGTGACTTGAGGGAGCCTTGGGGATCATGGACTAGTGAAATTTTAATGATCTAATTTCGTGATTTCGTGTGCCAAGTATGTGCCATGGCTGGATTGAATGATTTGATTAGTTGGGCTTGTTGATATGTAGAATTGAGCATATTGCGGTGTGAATTAAACAAGTAGTTTTGTGAAATTGAATGCTCATTGTAAATTTCATGGATGCCTGAGTATGAACGTTATGGCTATGAGTGTGCATCTCGAGCATTGGCATAACATGTGCATATGAGAGTGTGCACGAATGACATGAGCATGTGATCACCTAAAATGCCCTGATGCGTTTTACGCGGGGTTCAGATAATAACTGGTGAATGTGTACGTGTGATCACATAAAGCCTTGATGTGTTTTACTCGGGGTATTGAACCCGTCCTGATGCGTTTTACGCGGGACGATGCCCGATTTTACCGGAAGACCGCCAATCCGATGCGTTTTACCCGGGTTGTGCCGTAAAAGGGAGATCGGTGTTGCGCCTGAGGCGTTTTACGCGAGCTAGAGACACTGAGCCTGAGGCGTTTTGACGCGGGCTATAGAAGTGTTGTTGGACCTGAGGCGTTTTATGCGGGTCGGACCTGATACGTTTTACGCGGGTCGGATCTGATGCATTTTACGCGGGTTGGAAGTGAATTGGGAATTGACAATTGTGCAAGTGTGCAAGTGTGCGAAAGTGCATCGATGAGACATGAGCATGAGTATGAGCATAAGCATGTGCATGACATGTGTCGTGGCCAAGTGATATTGTGCACGTGTCATGGTTGGGTTCTGTACTATTATTGTTATTCTTGTGTGCCTAACCTGCAAGGTCAAGAATATATTTGATTTGGGCCGAGGGCCTAAGTCGTTCGAATGTTGCATTGTGTGTTTGGTCTATACTTGTCCGGGAGGTGCATGTTAGCCTAGTTTAGGTTTAGGGGGCTTACTCGCTGAGATTTATTCTCATTGTTGTTTAAACCCCACTTTTCAAACCCCCGATCCTGAAGATGGTAGATGCGCCGCTTCGTTTTGGGATCCCGTATCGCATAGAGCGATCGGTGACAGAGCACCCCGTAGGGAACGGGGAGTCTTATGTTAGGTATTACACTATAGTTTGGGTCAACGAGGACGGGCCACATTTTCGGGCCCATCCTTACCTCGCTTGGTGTTTTCGGGACCAGTTCGACACCCATGGACCTCTTAGGACCTTCGACGTCCCGTTCGACGTATTAGGCCGGTCGGATCCGCAGGCCGCCGATGGAGAGATCGCGAGCCCCGTTGTCACGTCCGAGGAGGATTTCGGCGCCCAGCCAGTCATCATCGGGATGGGTACCGAATCCGAGGAGCGAGAGGAGCCGATGGACTGGGAGTCCGATCAGGAGACGCAGTCGGAGTCCATGGAGCAGGAGCTTGAGCCGAAGGATGATTTTGGGGTGGAGTCAGTGGACGCCGAGTCCGAGTCGGATTCAATGGATTCTGGGTCTGAGTCATCTGATGACTCGTCCGAGTCCTCGGGATCCGATCCGGACCGGTTGCCCTAGGGTTTAGTCCTGACTATAGTTAGGTAAAGCCGACACTTTTTGATAGGAGCCCTTTTTAGATAGTGCCTGATCGCCCGAGCCACGTACCCTTTTTGATGTTAGTGGCCGTTGACCCATTTTTGGCTAGTGTATAGTACCGTGAATGGATATTGTATATCCCTGTTATTAATGCAAGTTGTATTTATTGTTTTATTTGCTACCCTTGGTCATGATTGTTTTATTATGTTCGGGTGTTATGTTGCTTCCACATGTGCATTATTCTCTGTTTCGGATTTTGGGTCGGCGACGCGTCCTGGGACGTCGCACTGAATCGACCGCGGTAGGATTGTCGCGTGCCGTAGGGTTTGGGGCGTGACATATTCCGTCTACATACTTTCCCAATTCATGCAGAAATCGAAGGAGCAGTAATGGGGAGCCGCTATAAGAGTTCTTCAATATCTTAAGGGAAACCCAGGAGAAGGGATCCAATTATTAGTCCTAACTTCACTTCACTTAATTGCCTTTTATGACTCTAATTGGGTGAGTTGTCGATTGTTCGGTAATCAGTTACCTGTTATTTTGTCATGCTCGGTGGTTGTCTCTTGGAGAACCAAGAAGCACACCACAGTCTCTCGGTCCTCTGCTAAAGCTGAATATCGCAATATGGCAACTACTACTAGCAAATTGATTTGGTTGCGTAGTTCACTTGCCTCCCTTAAGGTATTACACAACAAATTGATGGGTCTTTATTGTGACAATAAGCCGCCTTACACATCGCATCAAACTCGATATTTCATGAACGAAAAAAGCACATTGAGATTGACTATCAGTTTGTTCTGGAACATGTATAGTTCGGGGCCATTAGAACGGAGAACGTATCCACTAGACTTCAACTGGCAGACATTTTACCAAGGTGTTGGGTCGATATCGGTCTACATTTTTTGTTAGCAAGTTGGGCATTTGTAACCTCCATTCGCCAACTTGAGGGGGAGTATTATGGAAAATTTGTTGAAGATTTTCTTTCTATTTTGTTAATATTTAGTGTATCCTTTATCAATATTTAAGACTGTCATTTTATTTGTTAGTTAGCATAATATCCTGTACATCTCTTATAATTAGCCGAAGATATTTGGGAGATTTTCCTTTTTCCTTTTCAGTTAAGCAGTATCTTGTATAAATATTTGTATAGTATGATAAACAATACAAGCAATTACAAATTCTCTCACAACTCGAGAAAATGCAAGCTCTAGAAACCCGAGAGACAAACTTAATTTTTAGAAGGGCAAAGTTCAACACTATATTTTCCCTCAACACCAAAAGGAAGCAATGATTGATTGGGGGATTATGAGGGCAAGAGGGAGATGAACTTGATCACGGCGTCGACGGCATTCTGAGCGGCGAGAGAGGCGAAAGTGGAGGCCTCGTTGGAGAGCGAAGAGCCACCGCCGGCCAAGTCGGAGAGAGACCTGAAAGCGACGAAGGGCATGCCGAGCTGGCGACACACCAGAGCAACGCCTGCGCTTTCCATGTCGATCGGAGTGGCGTTGAACTTGGATCTCAAGAACTCTCTGTAAGCTTGGTTATCCACAAACACGTTGGCACTCACTCCCCTCTCCACTCTCACAACTCTTGGTTCTCTTGGCAAGCAGGTTGAAGAGTTCACACAAGCCCCTAGCTTCAAATCCTGCATATCATTTCAACCAATTTAATGAATGGAAAGGCATGTATTCAACACTAATGTGGCATTGCAATACATAATTGAGAGGGAAGCAATGTCTACTGTTGCCTAAAGTTTGGACATTGGTCCCACTTTAAGGCTCCGTTCGTTTGGCGGAAAATATTATGTTTTTGGAAAATGTTTTCCCGGAAATCATTTTCCTAGAAAATGTTTTTCCGGAACACAATTTTCCGGTGTTCGGCTGAAATATGAAAGAGTTTCGGAAAATATTTTCCGGCGTTCGGCAACGATCGCTGCCGACTATGTTCTTTTTCCTTCTTCTTCTCCGGCAGGTCGCCGGCCACGGTCACGGCCAACGTCCGGCGACCGGCCAGAGGTGAGCTTGAGCGTTGCAACAGGCCGGCGAGTTGGGGCCTCGCCGGACGTCCGCGAACCTCGTCCAGGTCGCCGGACGTCGGCGAACCTCGCCCGAGGTCATCGGCGAGGCTCTGGCGAGGTCGAGCTCGCCGGTCGCCGGCTGCCGACTGGCTGAGGTAGAAGAAGCAGAAGCAACAAAAAAAAAAAGAAAATAGGAAGAAGTCTGAAGCAAAGCAGAGCTTCAGACTTCCGGAAAATGACTTCCGCTTCTCAGAAGCGGAAGTCATTTTCCTCAAAACAATGAAGGATTTGGGGGTGGGGAAGGAAAATGTTTTCCCACGGAAAACATTTTCCGCCCCCGAACACCGGAAAACGCGGAAAATGTTTTCCGGAAAAATATTTTTCGGGGCACGAACACAGCTTAAGTATACATTCAAAAAGTCTAAAGTTTCAGTAGTTCAGATTTTGAAATCGCCTGGACTTTTGAAATCAGCATGCTCGCCTCTTGTATTTATTCGAAGCTTAGCCAAACGAAGGACATCTCTTACATTCTTTTATCGCGAAAGAGTTTCGTAGAGTGCCGAAAGTGGCGTCGCCTAGTGTTTTTGGAAGTAAAAAGGTGTGATTATACAAATTAATTACCGTGATTTTCGCCGATAATCCATAGTAGCGCTGGTCAACGGGAACCCAGAAGGCGTGTTGCCTGACTTCAGGAACACCGTCGATTGGGAAGACCTCTTCGGGCTGATACCACACTCTGTTCAGAAGATTTGCCACTTCTTCCCCATTTTGACTTACGTTGTTGTAATTGGCGAATTCGAGATACCCAATTTCCCTCGTATAGTCCCCATTCGATTCTAAAGACAGCTCGTCGTTGGGTCCGTCGCCAAATCGCTGCACAAGATTAAAAAACACAGTTGAAGATGATGAAAATGACGAGGCTGACAAGTTAGGCGAGACTACAGTTTCGACCGCTCGTAGGAAAATGCACATCGAAGTTTCGATACTGCGAATTTTCATGAGTGCAAATCACATGCGATTAATAAGTCGTTGCGGTTGTTAAGGTGATTGCAAGAAAATACTGTTAAATATATATGTTTTGTACCTGCCAATACCAAAGGCCGGGGTGAGCCCAATACTGTGGGATGGTCACGTCTCCGATTTGGAGTTGAGGATTTGCATTGCCTGCAATCCCGTAGTGCACAACTCCTTTCACCTCAAATAGAGTGAGAAGCAATTCTGTGGTTATGCCTGCATTAAGCTTCAAAGGCAAAAATATATGGAAAAAGAACAGGCTTCATCAGGAAATTATCATTGATCAAATAGATCAAATTCTTCGAAATAAAGACTGGCAAACCAAAAGGGTAACAACAGGACGAATTAAATGGTTACGTAAATATACATACCATGCTCAATCCGGTCATGACAATCACGACCTTCTTATTTTCGACCTTTCCGAATCGAAACCTCCTTCCTGTGTCACATGGAGTAATCGATAGATTAGTGTGAGGGATTATGTCTCTTCCCCTTATCTCTAGTCGAATTTAGGTCCTAAATTTTGCACGTGAGGTTGTTGATTCGTTACGTAATTACATAGAACGACTGGATAGTCTAATAGTGACCCAAGATAGATATACCAAAGTTTTGATCACGGGCAGAGAAAACAGTCTGGGACCCAAATCACACAAAAACAAAAACTTGAAAGGGGTAAAATCCCATGGTTTTTAAAAAGTAGGATCAAATTCAATAAAAATGATTAAATTTAAGGCATTTTTCAGCGTTGTGTTTCCTCGAATGAAGACACGAACTTTGAACTTATGTACTTAATTAACATATGGGAAGAATTCTTCCGCTGGAGATTTGGTGAATTGCGAATAAGAGCTTAAAATGCTCTGAGCACATATAGGACGTACCTGAAATGTCCAAGTAAGGAAAGTTCGGATCAGCTTGAAAGCTCGGAGATTGGAGAAGAGGGTTCATCTCGAAAGAGTTGGGCACGATTATAGCGATGTATGGACCTCGACTGTTCATCAGTCCGATCTTCACCATCGAGCTTGGAGGAACCGCACCATTTGCTCTCTTGATGCTTCCAGCAATCGCTCCCAAGGCAAGAAGCCCAAGCATTGCCGCCCTCAAAGGACACACCATCCTTCAACGCTTCAGGTCCAGAAAATTACCAAAAAAATAGAATCAGAAATTTCAGTAGTAAGCTCAAGAGATCAGAAAGGAGATCGGGTTAGGGGTATGAGACGAAGTGCAGGGTAAGAGATGTGAAATGAAAGATAAGGCATGGAAGCATGTATTTAAGGGGGAAGTTTGGTTAGATTTCAAGGAATAGTAAACGACCCACCAATTCTCTGTGGATAAAGACAAGTGAACAGAATTCAGACCAGTGTGCTTTGGTTTGGTTTTGATTTAAGCCCTGCACGCAACTAGAGAGAGCCATAGAACAGTACATTGAAATGGAAGACGTAAACGAAGTCAGAGTCAACATACCACACCTTACAATTAAAGGAATCATCCCCCACCTTGACCCAAAATCAGAATCAGAAAAGAACTGTCCCCATCCAAAATGGAGAAATCTTAGGTCAAACGATGATAATATAGACAGTTGTAGTTTTCATGGCATGTAGTTATCCTTCACCTAATGCGAACATATCTCGTGTATAGACAAAGGGTTTTTCGCATAAAGAAAACTATGCATAAAGATTTCACATTGAACTTTGATGGGTAATGACGTAGCTAGCAAGGATCACCTAGAGGGAGGTGAATAGGTGATCTAAAACTTTTGATCAATTTTTAAAGCGGAAGTAAATGATCAAGATTAAAGTCTGAAAAACATTCAAATTCTGAGCAGACTTTATAGATAATGTACTGGTGTGCAGTATAAAAGATAGAATAAGAGTTTAGGGATAGAGAAACTGCACACAAGATATTATAGTGGTTCGGCTTAAATCAAGCATACGTCCACTCTCTCACGCTGATAGCCTACTGGCTGAATTCCACTATCTAATTAAAAAGGATAACAAGTTATGAGTGATATCACTCTGTGAATGATAGAACTCTCTATCTCACACAATCACTCGGATCTCAGTGTTTGGCTCAGGAAAGACAAGTAGTAAAATCGGAATATGCTCAGACTTTGAACTTGTTGATTCTTAACTTCGTTCATTTTTTTCTACTCCTCATTAATCTTCTTTTATACTCCTCCACTTCCAAACTAGCCGTTGGATAGTCTTCAAAGGATCATCTTCCAATCTTCAACTTGGACAGATTTGTATAAAATCGATTGAGTAGCCGTTGGTTGACAAAATTTGAATCCCGCTGAATCTGATCGCCCATACAACCAGAATCTTAGTTTCCATAAGTAGAGCTTATCCGTTGTGAGATATATACTTGTCTTAATATTTGATTGTCAATCAATTATAGCATTTGAATATTGAGTTAATCAAAACTTTCCTTCTGTGAAATCCACGTCAGATCACTAGCCATTATGTTCGTTCTGAGTGATTTCAGAATCTGGATAACTTCTGGTTCTTGCTTCACATTCAGAACGTAAGTCAGTGTGGGTCTTCAGTAAGGTCTGAACCTTTTATAAGTAAAGTCTGAAGTTCACCATCTACTTAATATAAAGTCTGAGTGACTTTTCCAATAAAGTTTGAATTTCTCGATCTAGTTCCCGTAAAGTCTGAGATCTTCCTTCTAGTACTCGTAAAGTCTGAGTGTCCAGAAATTTTAATTCTCTCAAAGTATTGGAATTGCCATTTCCAGAATATATCTACCTGGATCAAAATACTTCAGAGTATTTATCAGACTTACAAAATTCACATGGATAGTTTTATCAACTTCAAAATCTATTAGGAAGTTTCCTTAACAGGCAACACCCAAAAAAAACAAAGCTAAATAAATATCTTATAAATATAAGATACATTATAAATATAGACCAATCGCTTATAAACAAAAAAGCGAGTGTAAGTGACAAGCGGAAATCAACTCTATGTTTGAAATTACTTAATCATCTTAATTTTGATTAACTTGCTATGGTCATACTCAATTTATTTATTCAATGCATATGATTCTTTTCCAATTTTCCCTAAGTATTTTTCCCCCTTTCTCTCTCTCTGTTTTTTTTTCTTTTTTTTTTCAATAGTTATCTATGTAGGGTTTGAAGTAATCTTTGGTCGAAGGAAGAGAAACAACTAGCAAGTCCATGTCGCGGCCTTCATGACCCCTTTCGAGCCATACTTCTAGGAAGTGGGCATGACGTGACTCGCAAGGAATGAGTCTTTCTCAACAGAAATGTAGAACAAAGATATCATTATAAATGAGAAGGCAAATAATTTGGAAAAAGACAAACAAATGAATTCAAATTATATGATAAGAACATACCTCAAATATAAATTTGTAATGGGTGACTTATTTTGATAAGTATTTTTTTTCTTGCCAAATAATTGTTCAGTATTTGAGAATCAATTCATCTTGGTCTCAAGAGAATGATTAATTCTAAGGACACCGAAAAGTGGAACAACAAAATGCAGCCCTAAATCGAATAACTAGTGGTCTTTTACAATCACATAACACTCGGCGTTGTAAATGAGGAGGCAAATAATTTGGAAAAAGGCAAACAAATGAATTCAAATTATATGATAAGAACATACCTCAAATATAAAATTGTAATGGGTGACTAATTTTGATAAGTATTTTTTTTCTTGCCAAATAATTGTTCAGTATTTGAGAATCAATTCATCTTGGTCTCAACAGAATGATTGATTCTAAGGACACCGAAAAGTGAAACAACAAAATGCAGCCCTAAATCGAATAACTAGTGGTCTTTTACAATCACATGACACTCGGCATTGTAGAGACAATTAGTTATTATCAAGATTTACCTGACTGCTAAATAAAAGAGAGAGAGAGAGAGAGAGAGAGAGAGAGAGAGAGAGAGAGAGAGAGAAATACATATCGAGATAGATTCCACGTGATAAAATGGGAACGGTTTGTTACTTCTATTATTAGTTAGGCAATCACTCCCCTTTTATTGGCAAATGGGACAGATTTTGTTCACAAGCTACAATAAGATCTAAGGTTTGAATAGTTGGGCGATAACGCTAGGTAAGAGACTCTTGGTGGTCCTGGACAGGAACTTAATCGATCAAGGAAAGTCAACTCGACTAGCTATTACCAAGGAAGAAAAGTATACGAACAATATACGAGAAAAGTACCAAAAAAATCTTAAACCTATTAAATTGGTCCTAAGCACCTCAAAAATTTTAATTTCACTCAAAGTGGGTGGCCACATGTATTTTAAGCCATTCTATGAAGTTTTGAATTTTTGATTTTTGGCACATCAAAAAATTTAAATTTCACTCAAAGTGGGTAGCCATAGTAGGTATTCTAAGACATTCTACAGTGAAGTTTTGAAATTTTGATTTTTTTTGGAAAAATTCAAAGTAATATTATACTAATTTTCCGAAATCGACTTTTTTATTTTTTGGAAATTTTTATGAATTTTTTTTTCCTTCATTTTGGATTTTCAGAAGATTTTTTTTTGGCGGTGGCCGGCCGACGATGGCGGGAGGCGGCCCTAGCCTAGATCCATGGCAGCGGCGGTGGGGGTGGCCGGCCCTTGCTAGGGGCCTGTGAAGACCATGAAGAGAAAAAAAATTAATAAAAAATTAATAAAAAATTATAAACATATTATTAAAAATATCCAATTGGAATAGAAATTTGAAATAAGAAAAATGAAATTGCGTTATCATGTAGGATGGCGGTGTCTATGTCGGAAAAATAGAAATTATTTCCGACCTAAATTAATTGGCTATGAATGGCAATCACTTCCCTTTTATTGGCAAATGGGAGAGATTTTGTTCACAAGCTACAATAAGGTCTAAGGTTTGAATAGTTGAGCGATAACGCTAGGTAAGAGACTCTCGGTGGTCCTGGATAGAAACTTAATCGATCAAGGAAAGTCAACTTCGACTAGCTATTACCAACGAAGAAAAGTATACGAAAAATATAAGAGAAAAGTACCAAAAAAATCCTGAACCTATTGAATTGATCCTGAATCTATTGAGTTAGCACTAATTCAGTCATAAACCTTTCAATTTGACTAATTTAGTCCTAACCTTTTCACATTGGTAGCAATTCTGTCCTATTGGCCAATTTAGATTAGAAATCACCGATGTGGACACCGATCATCCTACGTGGCACAGTTGGCGCTATTATGGACATTTTAAAATAATATTATAATAACTTTTTAAATTTTTTATAATTTTTTTCTTTTTTTCTTTCCTTTTTTTTTGCCTTCATTTTGGCCAGTGACCCTCACTAGCTGCAAGCGAGGCAGCCTTGGCCTAGATCGTGGCCACGCTGATTTTGGGTGAGCGGCCCTTGCTAGGGGCCTGTGAAGGCCATGAAGAGAAAAAAATTAATAAAAATTCAAAAATTTATTATATTGCTGATGTGGAATATTCAAGTTGGATAATCAATGGTGTTAAGTAAAGGGGGGCTAGATTTGGGATTTAAATGAAAGTTTTTGATTTTTGCGTGAGACAAAAAAAGGTTGGGCCTAGAATTGTCACTCAATCTAAAGTTTGTGATTTTTTACGAGACAAAAAAAAAAAGTTTGGGCCAAAATTTTCACTCAATATAAAGTTGGTGCTTTTTTTTGGAAATATGAGGCAATGGTCAAAACTCAAACCTTTGAATTATGGGTTAAAATATATCAACAAAATTCAAATAATCGGACGACCAGATGCCGATATTTTTTCTCTCTTCATTCTAAGTCTTTTTATAGACCATTAAACCACGTGGCTGTTTCGAAATTTGGGATTGGATTTATCAATGATTAAGCTTGAGATTGTTAGGGCACTATATGAAAATATAGGATTTATCAAAATCCACTCGAAAGTTGTGCCCTCTAAAATCTTGAGCAAAATCTTACGGTAGGGAAAAGTACTCTAGAGGTCTGAAATTTGACGCACAAATGTAAAACCCTAAATTTTTGAATTGATGCAATCAAGTACTAAATCTTTAATCTACCGAAAAAAGGCACAACATAAGGAAGGCATTTCGAGAGATTGAATTTTCAAAGGAATGAAATAGTATTTATGAAAATATTTATGATTATTATTGAAAACCCGAGTCAAGTGTTAATAATGTTCGGTCACCGTTCAAGTTGATAATTGGACTATTTAAACGAAAACTAAAACAATTGCGATTCGAGCTCAAGTAAATAAAAGCTCGAGCTTGACTCTACTTGAGAAAATGCCAACCATAGAACACGAGGGAGGGCAAAGATCAATACTAATGTTTTCCTCAACAATACAAGAAAGCAAACGTTGATCGGTGGATTATGAGGCCAAGAGGGAGATGAACTTGATCATGGCGTCAACGGCATTCTGAGCGGCGAGAGAGGCGAAAGTGGAGGCCTCGTTGGAGAGCGAGGAGCCACCGCCGGCCAAGTCGGAGAGAGACCTGAAGGCGATGAAGGGCATGTCGAGCTGGTGACACACCAGAGCAACGCCTGCACTTTCCATGTCGATAGGAGTGGCGTTGAACTTGGATCTCAAGAACTCTCTATAAGCTTTGTTATCCACAAACACGTTGGCAGTCACTCCCCTCTCCACTCTCACCACCCTGGGTGATCTTGGCAAGCAGGTTGAAGAGTTCACACAAGCCCCTAGCTTCAAATCCTGCATATCATTTAAACCAGATTAATGAATTGAAAGGCATTTATTCAACACTAATGTGGCATTACAATACATTATTGAGAGGGAAGCAATGTCTACTGTTGCCTAAAGTTTGGACATTGGTCCCACATTAAGCATGCAATTCAGAAGGCCTAGAGTTTCAGCAATTCGGATTTTGAAATCGCCTAGACTATTGAAATCAGCATGCTCGTGTCTCGCATTTATTCGAAACTTAGCCAAACGAAGGACATCTTTTACATTCTTTTAGCGCGAAAGAGTTTCGTAAGGTGCCGAAAGCGGCATTGCCTAGTGTTTTTGGAGGTAATAAGGCGAGAATACGCAAATTAATTACCGTGATTTTCGCCGATAATCCATAGTAGCTCTGGTCAACGGGAACCCAGAAGGCGTGCTGTCTGACTTCAGGAACACCGTCGATTGGGAATACCTCTTCGCGCTGATACCACACCCTGTTCAGAAAATTTCCCACTCCCTCCCCATTTTGACTCACGTTGTTGTAATCAGAAAATTCGAGATACCCAAATTCCCTCGTGTCGTCCCCATTTGATTCAAAAGCCAGCTCGTGCTCAGGTCCGTCGCCAAATCGCTGCACAAGATCAAATAGGGTGAAGATTTACAATGAAAACGGTGAGGCCCAAGCTAGGCTTGACCATAATTTCGGTCGGTTTCGTCCTGAAAACTTATGATGACAAGTAACAAGTTAGGCTTGACCTATTGCCTCTTCTAGATGGGTTGACTCACCTGATCGAATCTAAGTTAAACACCTATTATAGGAAATTCATATCGTAGTTTCGATACATTCTCGTTCACATAGTACTGTTCTTGCGCGATTGATAACTTAATGCGGTTTTTAAGGTGATGATCAACAAAATTTTGGTACCTGCCAATTCCAAAGGCCGGTGTGAGCCCAATACTGAGGAATAGTGACATCTCCGATTTGGAGTTGAGGATTTGCATTGCCTGCAATCCCGTAGTGCACTACTCCTTTCACATTAAATAGAGCGAGAAGCAATTCTGTGGTTATGCCTGCATTAAGCTTCAAAAGCAAAATTAAAGAAAAAAAAGCAGGCTTTATCAGGAAATTATCATGATCAAATAGACCAAATTCTTAAAATAAAGATTGGGAAATGAAAAAGGGAACAAGAAGATGAATTAAATGCATATTTAAATATACATACCATGCTCAATCCGGTCATGACAATTACGACCTTCTTATTTTCCACCTTTCCGAATCGAAATCTCCTTCCTGTGTGACATGAAATTACCCATGAATTTGGTTTGGGATTATGTCTTGTCCCCTCATATTGAGTCCAATTTAGTTCGTGAATTGTGCACGTGACGTAGTTGATTCATGCCGTAATTACATAAAACGTTCAGACAGTCTAAAAGTGAACCAAAATGATATACCAAAGTTTTGTTCACAAGCAATATCGAGATAAACTTAAGTGGTCAAATCCAAAGTAGGATAAAATTGAATGAAAATGATTGAGCTTAAAGCGTTGTTAGTGTTGTGTTTCCTCAAATGAAGACACAAACTCTGAACTCATGAACTTAATTGATATGTGGGAATAATTTCTGCTAGAGATTAGGTAAATTGTGAATAAGAGCTCAAAATGATCGGAGGACACACAAGATGTACGAGTTGAGACCACAATTCTAATTTTCCTTTACCTAATATATCCAAGTAAGGGAAGTTTGGATCGGCTCGAAAGCTTGGAGATCGGAGAAGAGGGTTCATCTCGAAAGAGTTTGGCACGATCACAGCAATGTATGGACCTCGATTGTTCATCATTCTGATCTTCACCCTCGAGCTTAGAGGGACTGTGCCATTTGCCGTCTTGATCTTTCCAGCAACCACGCCCAAAGCAAGAAGCCCCATAAGCATTGCCACTCTCAAAAGGACTCGCCATCCTTCAACACTTCCAACTCCCAAAATCAGATGGCAAAGAGAATCAGAAATTCAGTACGCTCAAGGTGTGAAGTTAGAGATGCGAAGCGTTGTACTTATGGGGAAATTTGGTCAAATTATTATGAATGAATTCGTCGGCCTCATCATTTTAAGTTGTGTTTATTGCCTCGTGGCCCTCGTGGCTTTCAAGTATACAATTTCTTGGGCATGGCGCGGGTGGAGAAGTCGGCCCTAGGATCACTCCACGAGGTCCACATGTTGATGGGCTACTTCATAGTTTATTCCACTCTCATCCCACGAGTAATAGTTTATTAATCATGCATTACTTTTTGGTTACTTAAAAGCAATTGGTTAGGAGCCTAGCATCTCGAATTTGATTAATGATATCTTTCACTCAGAATAACTTATATTAAGTATCATGTTTATTGCCTGTGTATGGAGCCTCGCCCGGTAATGAGCATAAAAATTTGCATGTAATTCGTGCGATTAATAGAATTTTTTTTGGTCGAAAGAAAGATTTTATTCATCATAATAATATTCGAGAGATACATAAAAGGCATACAAGTCTAATAAATCCCAAACAACTGAGGAACAAAGTAAATATTAGAATGCAAATAACAAAACACAAAGCATGACCTGCAGTTAAAAGCACACTCTCATCCCTCAAGAACATATCTGTCACCGTAAACATTTGGCGGCCGATCACCAAATTCAGCGATAAGCACACGTCGAGATCCCCTACTCCATTTGCAATGACTTGCGGTTTGCATCTTGGTTCAACGTCCTCATCACCATCCTGTGTAGAGATACCAACATTAATATATTGAAAGAACACATATCAAATACTGTAAGGAACTCCTAGATCTAAACCTAAATCTAAATCAGGAGAGTAAAACCCCCGATTCTAGACCTCAATCTAAATCGAGAGAGAAGAGCGGTCTAATCTCGGAGAAGTTGTGAAGACATGTCACGAACATCTTCCTCAATGGCTGTCGATTAAACAAATGGCCGAATTGGACTCTATATTCACTCAAGATCAGCTGCAGAAATTTATTCACACACACAATCACTCGAAATATGCGGACATATAAATTTACGCGTAATTAATTGGATTGATTGTTATAAAAGTTCGAATATCGCATAGGACCGCTTAAATCCACTCCTATTTTGGCTCCAGTCACGCTCCTAAGAAATAAAAATTTACAAAAGTACCCAAATTTGTGGGTCTCGCAGTCCCATTTCTTTGTTTTACACATTTTGCTTGCACAGACCCCGCATCTCTCCTCTCCTCTCCTCATGGCTCGTGGATGGTTGCATATTTCCCATCTCTGTCCTCTTAGCTTCGAGTTCCAAGCTCGCATCATCGTGATTGTTGCGATCAAGGCTGCTCGAGGTAGTCGATCGGATCAAGCTCGATTCGAGGTGGTGAGTGCTCGGCAATAGCCTCCACCTCCGAGCATGGGGCGGTGCGAGCAGAGAGAGGTAGAGAGAGAACGTCTAGGCTTCTGTGAGACTAGGGACCCGTAACTTAGGCAATAGGCATCCTTTTCGTTCTAACTCCTTAAGGTGTGTATGAAGCCAAAATGAGAGTGAATTTAGCGTCACCCTATCGTATATTATACGAAAGATTTGAAAAGGCAAATAGTCATAAATACTTTAATTTCTGATTAGTTAGCCTCAATTCTTAATTTATTTGTCTCGAAAGGTGAGATCGACAGGGAACCAATCGAAACATGACAATGAATGGCAAATATCTTCGTTGACCAGACAATAATCTTTTTTCCCGAATTGACACATAAGGGACTATGTTTGGCATTTTCTAGTGGCGAATTGTTTGATTTCCGAAAATAAAACTCCCTCAAGATGGTATCAAATGCTGATTAAATTTTTTTTAAAAGGGTAATTTTTCTTCTTGGAATCTAACTTAAATTACACAAACAATCGCATTTCGGTCGATGCAATGTTCTTCGGGAATTCGATCTTGTCTAGACAAAAAGGAGGAAAAATAGAAGGCAAAAAAGAGGGACGAAAAGTAATATCTCTAAAGCAAAAGCGAGAGGGACCCGCCATTACCATGATTTCAACTTTGAAAAGGGCACGATGGCTATGCCAATTCCCACCATTATTGCTCTCGGAAAAGGACCAATGATGCTGTCGAGCTAATGTAAACTCTCTCCTTTTCTTTGATTTGTCATGATCTGCGTCTACAGCAGATGTTGTCTTGGAGAGGACAAGTCAAAAAAGCCCTGCGGAGTCTCCATGGATAATGTCTTGCTGCAAGGACATAGCGAGAGTCAAGAATCTGAGGTAAATTACTGTCTCAAACTATTGCGAAAGAACAAGGTGTCCTCCTAGACAGACCAAGACAGGCTAGTAAGAGCAAATGTATTGAAAGTTATGTGAAGTAGATTCAACTAGAAAAGGGAGTGTCACAAGGAAATTGTCATGAACTTAAACCTTTGATGAATCATGGGTTAAAAAGCATGAACAAAATTCAAATAGTCAGTGGACCCGATGGGGATCTTTTCTCTCTCTCCATTCTATGTGTTTTTATAGACCGTTGAAACGTGTAAATATGGGTTGTTTCGGAACTTGCGATTGGATATATGAACGGTTAAGATTGAGATTGTTTGGTTGTATGAGAATACAAGATCTCCATCCCTAAGGACCATCTATTTCAAGACAATGTCTACTCGAAAGTCGTGTCATGTAAAAATATTTAGCAAAATCTAATCCTTGATAGGGAAATGTACTCGAGAGGTCCGAGTAATCGATTCCTTGATCTTTGATGCAATCGAATATTAAATCTTTAATCCTATGAAAAAAAAAAAAGAGCAATATAAGAAAGCGATCTTGTAAGGAATTCCCGATTTCCACTTAGCAAAAATTTAGTATTGATGATTGAAAAGATATGATTGCACTTTAAAAAAAAGACGTTTAGAACTTGTTTGTAATGTTTGAAAGGTGTTGTAATCAATTGTATTGACGGCTTCTCATAAACTTTTTCCCATTTTTGTCCTCTAGCTCGCACCATTATTTGATTTTGCTCTCCATCTCTTTCACGAAATGAAATTTTATAATTTCTCATGTTTTGAATTAGTACTTCCTTTCGACCAAAAAAAAAAAAACTAATACTTCTTTTGACCAAGAAAACAAAACTAGTACTTCGATTTCCACCAAAAAAAAAAACTAGTACTTCCATAATTCCTCATTAATATCTCAACTAAATCGATGACACGATATATTCTGGCCAACAATATCATTTCTAGTGATGATACCCAGCATAAACATAGTGAATTTGGCATCGATCTTTGCCTATGGATTTTCTCATCGGTCTTTTCCAGCAATACAATAATCTCCGCAAATTTGAGAATCTCATATCGACTTACGGAATAATACGTTGTTGGCAACCTTGAAAGTGACGTATATGAAGTTAGATGCGTTGTTTTGACCATGTCCCGTCAAAAAATGCAATGTTTTAGAACGATATGACTTGACACAAATTCATAACACGGAATTTGACAGGTGAACACAAACTACGGCTCGAGAAGAGCCATCCCAGAGCTAAAGTTACATGGCTTGCAAAGCTCAACCTGCTATGCTAACGACGAAATGATTTGCAAATTGAAATGCAAACACCTTTGCTAGGCATAATAATTACAGCAAAAATGCATTTGAAAATAACCACTAAATTGAAAGGATGAGCTAGGTTGATTAATTCAAGGATGCCCTTATCCCCGAGATACACAGCACAAGATGACTCCATGTTTTTTCTTTTCCATGATATATGGCATCATGAGCAATCAGCCTTTCACATTTTTTTTCTATTTATTTATTTCCTTAGCAGATTGACGGCTCGTGATGTTATATCAATTGATCATGAAGCTTCTTGCTGCACTATTCTCCATAAAACCCCCCAAAGTTATTAAAAAAACAAGTCTCATCGTAGCCCTCCTCCTCCAAAAGCAGAGGCCCAGTAGTCTGCTCCATTGTCGCTTCCTACTTGGAGCGTGCACGAGACCGGGACTAGACACAACCCTCTACTCCTCAAACCATTCTCTGGCTCTTCATTGATGGATTCCTGCTGAAAATGTCCAAGAAGAAATGAGAAGGATATGAGTTTGTTGATCGTAATGACTGTCATGGTAATCCCAAACTACTACAAAATAATTGCAATTTCTAAGTCTAAGGATCTTTAGGATAGGCTTTTAACAGCAGATTCATGAAGTAGTAAACTCTTCCCATGCTGTTAATTAATAATTATTCACTGTTTATCTTAGTCTTACCGATTTTTATCGTGATTTTCTGTATTAAAGATCATTCGGTAGACTATACACAGTTATGTCCATCATCACAACATCAATCAAACTACATGACAACTTTCTAGCAAAAAAAACAGAACAACATGACAACTTCCAAGCAGTGAATGCATTTCAGCATAGGTGGTCTAAAAAACTATAGAACTTTTTTCCCATTTTGTGTATGTTATGTAAAATAGGTTTCCTTTTACCCATCACCGATGGAAGAAATCGATACGCAAGCAGCATCCTTTCTTATTAACAAGTGCCGTGCATGGTGGTTATTTTGCTTTTCTTGTATGCTGGATGCTAACAAAAGAAGACTCTTTCTGGGGCATTTCTACAATGGGTGATTGTTGGATCGCAAAAGAATAGATTTCGGTTATCCATTGAAGATCTTTGAAATATTTGTGTAGTACGACATTTTGTGTGGGAAGTTCGACAAACTGCAGGAGGGCCTGATGGACCATAGAAACCCCACATGTTTGTGTATCGATCTCACATCCATGACCGTGCATTGGGAATTAAAATCCATTTTCGAAAACGATACTCCTCTTTACCTTCTTCTTTAATGAATATATACATTTTTGTAGATCTGTGTAAAAAGCTAAAAACAGTCTCTTTGTTCTCAAAGTAAGTTTATAAAGCTGAAAAAGAGATTGCGAAGTCTTTAGTCAATCTGGATTGTCTACTTTAATCAATCTAAACTGATGAAAAATGACGATGTCTTTATATAGGTGTATAGCTTCTTTTAGTCTTTACAACATTAAACTGAACATATTTTTAGCTTTCCCAAAAAATAAAGGTAAATATACCAGTTACTCTTAAGTCTTAAGTATTTAAGGGATCCAATAAAGCACTCATACCTGACCCGAATCCTCAGAAAACATAGAACTCCTCTCTCCTCGAACCTTGCATAGAATTTAGAACTTCAATCAGTAAAATTTGTAATATATGGTTAAAACAAAAGTAACTTGCACATGCGCGCGCTTGCGCACGTCTGAAAGCAGAAAAAATTTCAGACGGGAAAAACAATGTATTTATTACATGTTCCTTGCCTTCTATGTATCATATCACTGGCAGAACAAGTATATAGTTCTTCTTTTCACGTGTTAGAGACAATGCAATTTTTTTTTTGTTTTCCAATAAGAAGTTAATGCTCGTCAAAATAATGATTTCTTACAGATTGATGGTGTCTCGGTTTTCCTGAAGCACTGCCCATGTAGGGCGAACTGAGCGCCTGCGAAGAAGAGTTAAACAAGAAGAATATTTAGTACTTCCATAACTATCAAGAGAGACGTCATCACTAAGTCCATGGTTTGTTTTTCTTTTTGCATATAACCAAAAGGATTTGGAATATAAGCTAAAGAAAAAGCAACCACCTCAATTTGATTCTGAAGAAATCTGATGTACCCAATAGCTTCTAATAGTACTGAAGCTGTGTCAGTCTGCAAAAAGATCCAACAAAAAAATAAAGCGAGAAAGAAGGAAAGAAAACCAGTTACAAAGTCTTATATATTCACTTCTTCTAGATCTCATAATCACAAGAAGGAGAGACAAAGCTTCATATAATCTTGAAGAAAGAAAGAGAGAACTAATTGCTCTTGAAAGAATTAATAATGCGACATAATTTTACATGTCTCCAACATTTAATACCTTTCCAAATGGGGAAACTAGCTGGTGCAGGGATGAGATTCTGTCTCCTAATTTCTCCTTCCTCACCTGTTTCAAAAACCCGAAAAAAGGGAAAAAATGATTGAAAAAATGAAGCAAGATGTGTTTCGTAAAAATTATTGGTCACCCTAAATCCACTTTTCACATTTTCTGCTTTTTCCATCTCTCTTTTTCACTCTATTGGAAAGTAAGATGTTAGCCTATATGAGAGATTGATGCTGCTGGAACAAGTGGACAATGAGAGAGAGCCAACACTACCCATTACGCGCGCGCGCGTGTGATAGAGAGAGAGAGAGAGAGAGAGAGAGAGAGCATGATTAGGTACCTTGAAGGTATTAGATTGGCTGGAAGGCTGGACCTTAGCTTTCTTTTGTGCCCCACCAGTTGCATTGCTGTTACACTGATGAAAGAGCAAGAAAAATAAAAAAAAAACGGCATCAGAACCTTATTAATCTAACAACGATCTCCAGTTTTTAAGTGAAAAACATAAATAGCATGACTAGAGCAAAACCCACTCTTTTTATTGTTTGGGATTTTCGAACTGATTCACAAAGTCAGTTCTAGTCAATGTAACATGCAGTTATTCAGTATTCACCAAATGAAACTAAAGAAAATTATGGACACACAATCTCTCGCTATCCCTTTCTTTTTTTCAAACTCCTCACCTCAGAAGATAGATCTGGTGGGGTTTGCCTCTTATTAACTGACTTCTTGTTTGAGAAATCCAACATGCTGCTGCTGAAACTTGTGGTGACACATGACTTGGGTGGTGAACCAGGAATCATAGCATGGTGATGATGATGAGACCAAGCAGACTTGTTTGTTGTCCCTTGAAGAGCATGATGATTACTTGTTGCACGCCCATACATACTGTAGCTGCTTGCTGAATCTTCCTGCTTCACATGAAGATGATGATGCTGATTGTCGAGAGCAGAAGCATCATTTGGGGATTGCTGAAGCACTTGTTGCTCCTCCCAATCTTCCGCCCTCTTTTCTTGAAAGTAATTCATCATCCCAATACTCTTATCTTCTTCTCCAACCAATCCACCCCTAAAATACACCACATGACCCACAAATTAAGCTAATATACATATATCCATACATGCAAATTCATGTGAGTTCTTTTACTGATACTTGGAGAAAGTTGTCCTTATTTTTTTATTACATGGTCAGGAAATTGAAACAAAAAAGACGGGAACCTGAGAGAGAGAGAGAGAGAGAGAGAGAGGTTTTTTACATGAGGAGTTGGCTCAAAGACGCTGGAAGCTGCTCTTGGTTAACACTATTATTATTATACACCCAGGAAGGATTGAGATGAAATAAGGAAGAAAAAGAAGAAGTGGGTGGGTATTGAAGAAAGAGGTTAGGAGAGGAAGAAGAAGAGTGGCAAAAAGGAGAGCGTGGTGGTGGAGGATTGATGTTGTTCCACCAGTGATTGGGGTTTCCGGACATCATGTGCTGCACTGGTGATGAGCTCTGCATATAAAAACCTTGCTTCATGCCTCTCTCTCTCGCTCAAACCCAAGAAACAGAAAAGGAAAAGTCTGCACAAATATTTCACACTTGATCACTTCTTTGCCCTCTTTCAATCCCCCCTCTCTCTCTGTGCGCTTCTTCTCTGTCTTTCTCTCCTTTTCTCCTCTCCCTTGAAGGATAGTGAAAACGGGGAGTGTGTAAGCAAGCCTTTGTGGAAAACTTTGGGAGGTCTTCTGGGCCTCTGATTAAATAGAGGAGGTGATGTGTTGCAAAGTAAAGTAGACTGTGAGTGAGAGAGAGACGGAGAGACTCATTGAGCAATGAGAACCCTTTTGGTGTCTTTGGTTCCCAACTTTACTCTTTAAAAATATTGCCCGCTTGTCCCTTTTTTCCTCTCTTATTGCCTTTTTTTTTACGTGTGCTTTCCTTTTTCTTTCCCTCTCTTGCTTTTGGGTTAATTCAAAAAAAAAATACAAACTTTAGGTCGAGCGACAATTTTGGCCCAAACTTTTTTTGTTCCATAAAAAAGCATTAACTTTAGGTCGATGGACAATTATGGCCCGAACTTTTTTTTGTCCCGTAAAAAAGCACCAACTTTAGGTCGAGAGACAATTCTGGCCTGAACTTTTTTTTGTTTCGTAAAAAAACACCAACTTTCATTTAAATCCCAAATCTGGCCCTTATTGACTTAAAATCATTGATTTTCCAACTTGAATATTTCACCTTAGCAATAAATCCATGTGGCTTGCTGACTGGATTTAAAGCATTATTCATTGTCTTATTCTCTGAACCACAGCTTCAAGAATAACGGTGAAACTGTTCGTCTCCTTTACTTCACTGGCAAGTCAAAAATATCTCCAGATTGAATCTTTCTGGCCAAACTTCGTCGTTTTGTCGTAATTTGAAGCTGTAGACCACCGCCCGTCGACAGACGCCATGGAAAAGATTCGCCAGGCTCACCACCGTAATTTTTTTTCTCAAACAAGGGTAACTTCAGACAGAAAGTCAATGGGAGGCCAAATTTGGGATTTAAATGAAAGTTTGTGCTTTTTTACGAGACAAAAAAAAGTTCTGGCCAAATTGTCCCTCGACCTAAAGTTGATGCTTTTTTATGGGACAAAAAAAAGTTTGGGCTAGAATTGTCCCTCGACCTAAAGTTGGTGCTTTTTTATGGAACAAAAAAAAAATTTGGGCCAGAATTGTCCCTCGACCTAAAGTTTGTGCTTTTTTTTTTAATTAACCCCTTGCTTTTTTCCTTCCTTTTGCTACCTTTGTCTCAAAGTCGGACGGGAAGGGTAATGGCATTTTCTTTTCTTTGGGGGGAGAAAAATTGGAATTTATTGGATGGACTACAATCACCTTGAGTGCAGGATTCTCCCATCCCATCTATGACAGGTGTCAAGCTGGTAATGTTAAGTAAAGTAATTATTATTTATGGTTTGGTGAAGTAGTAACTTTTAAGTTAGTATATGTATTAGATTAGTAGAACTTACATATATATGTATCGCTCACGAATTCTACAAATTAGAAGTGGATTGTGCTTTTTGTTCATACAATTAAACTTTAGAAGGTATATAGATAATTTTCCGACAAAATACCAAACCAAATAACATAAATCTTAACTTTTGGAGCATTAATCCCACGCAAGGGAGCATCGACTCTTAGGCTCGGAAGTCACGCTAACTTGGAATAACCCTTTTGGTCCATTCTCAATTTGACTCCAAAAAGTTCGAACAAGTGTAAAATATATTCTCGTCACCTGTTAGAATCTTGTCCTTTAAAAAAAAGTTATTTCCTCAAATTTTTTAAAACCCTTATTCATTAAAGGATTGTCGTAGGTCTCAAAGGAGTTATCTTAAAGAATGATAGTTTGATCATGAGGCAAATAGTTTTTGGGGCTCTACCTACTAGCAGAATAATTACGGCGTGAAAAACATCTTCAACGAAATTTCATTATAGCTAGCAATGAAATTTTGGGGTTTCTAATGTGCACTCCACTTAAAAGCTCAAAGCAAAAACGAAATCAAGTAGATAAAACTAGAGAGAGATTCTTCGTTTTCTTTCTCTTCTGTTACCGACCAATTGCCAAGAAAAAAGGACAAGGGGTGATGACGAGGAAGACAAGATTTATAATTTGGGCGATGAAAGTTTTGACGTTGGTGTTATTCGGAATGGTGTCATCTTCATGGACAGGGAATTGAATGATGGATACCCTGCAACCATATGCTTTTGTATTTTATATCTAACGGTATGAACAGATAAGTGTCTGAAAGCTGAATGCGAGGATGACCCGTGAGAGAGAGAGAAGAGGAGAGAGGACACCCCCACACTTTCTCAGAGAGGGTCAAAATCTAGGGTTTAGAGATTCCTAATTGATTTTGAGATATTCGAGAGGATGCTAACGGCATTATTAATAACTAAAATATCGATTTTCCATGACAGAGCGTAAGCGGATGCGTCGCCTTTGAGTACCTGATCAAAATTCAACACTACCGGTGTTTGATCTGTCGCCCTTGTTCTTTGATATGGGCATGTCTTGATTTTGGAGAGAGCTTGTTATGTCGTATTACCTATATCATGCGGCACTAACGTTGTCATTAACACGATCGAGTGATTAATTTTCAGTCTGACTTGAAAGAGAACTCGCCATCGGCTTTAAAAAGTTACAACAGACAAGCTCATTTGATTGGGCGCATGACTCTACATGAACGCGTCACGGTGATGTGAAAAAAGGATGTGGATAAGCAAAGGTATTGTACTAAAGTCTATGATCAATGTAAAAGGGTTGTTTATTTCTTTGCTTGAGAACTCAAATGGCTGAATCCCATTTCCTTGATACGGTCACGTCCTGATTTTGGAGAGAGCCCATTATGTCATTCTGCCTATATCATGCGGTACTGACGTTGTCATTGACATGACTGAGTGATCTAATTTTCAAGCTAGCTTGAAAAGAGAACTCATTGTTGGCTTTAAAGAGTTACAATAGACAATTTCATCTGATTGGGCACGTGACTCCACATGAACGCGTCACAAATGGTACAAAAAAAGGACGTGGACAAGCAAAGGTACTGCGCTAGAGTCTTTAATCAATGTAAAAGGGTTGTTTTCTTTGCTTGAGGACTCAAATGGCAGAATCCCAATTCACGTGCATGTAAGTCAAGCTCATCAGATCATTTGAAATGCGGTGATGGACAGGAGCACCACATGAAAGACTACTTCCCTCGAATATAACCTAAAAAAACTTTCATTCATTCGAAGTTACTCGAGCATGAATTTTTTTCTCCATTTCTTCCTTAGTTTCGATGAACATTCCGCACAAGAATATTAAAATGATAAGGACACGACAACAGAAGCTAAAATATGAATAGAATCATTCTCTCCGGCGATTGTTTATGCTCATATTCCACGGCAAAACATTCCCTAAGCCCGCATTTTCACACAACATCCAAGCAAACAAACAAACAGACAAAGCCCTTGAAATCTCGAGCTGCTGCTTATTTGTTTTATCGGGACGATGAATTCTTTTGACGATTAAACAGTCTTTTTTAACGATTATCTTATGTGGGATGAATTGCGAGGTGGAATGTTTGGTCCTCACTGACAAAAGAATTTTGTCATGGGGCGCGATGTCTCATGTGGCATGCATCCTTTCCATGTAGCTTTCTTTATTTTTTAATCTTTGTCTCCCTCATATGTCCTTCTACAGAACAAACACGGAGCTAAACCAGCTCTCTCTTGTCCTCATCTCAGCCCCTTATATTCCTCTTTCTCTCTCTCTGTCTCTCGTGAAAATCTTTTCGATATTATGTAGAAACTATAAAAGCAACAAAGTAATAATCTTGATCACATGAAAGATGGAGGGACAAACCAAAATATCGTCTGTCACTTTATATAAGGATAAACTTATATCATCAAATTTAAGACCATAAGTTGTCATGTGAATCAGATAGCGAAAACATATGATTGAACAGTGTCATTTCATGTTCAATTTTTTTCTAGCCAAATACTTCTTGTACCATAGTAGGTTTTGCTTTCTGAAAACGGAGATAAAGAACTGAGCAACTGCTTACGACATATTATGGCTAAATGTATATATTGGTCACTCTGTTCAGGGCAAAACCATATTAATAAGAAAATGAATGATAACAATTTAATCTAGAATTCAATTAATTTGACATTGATTTGAAGAAATAGATAAGAGAGAAGTTCACAAGCTATTTTTTGGAACAACTTTTATGATGCTGAAGGGGTCGAATTGTGTGAAGGAAACTCAAACGTGATAAAGGATATACTCACCACCCGAGGAATCCACCCTATGATACACGGTGCATAACTCACCACTCAATAGAATCCACCAGAGAGATATTAAGCTCTAGAGATGCTCTTAATCCAACAGGTCAAATATGAAATTTCATTAATCAAAGCATTCTAAATCTCAAGGAGGTCCTAAAGGGATTTATATAGACTCAACTTGGAGCAACCCTCCAAGCTAGGCAATTTCCAAGATACCTTATCTTTTATTTTCCAATTAAGACAAAAAAATATATATGAAATCGAATCTTGACTCTAGAAGCATAATGCATTGCATTGGACTCAACGAGAACAAAAAAATACTAATGACTCAATTCTCGAGTAAAACTAAGTAGGACTTAGTAATTTGACCATAACTTTCTCTAGAAGACTCCTAGTTGCTTGAAACTTGTTGCATCAGAAACAAGGCACATCAGGTTGTACAACCATATATTATGAGAGCACATTAGACCATGGAATCATCATCAAAGCTCAAAAGAAAATGACCCTTGAAATTCTGTCCATAAAAATGAACTTCACCTGTTAGCAATTTTGCATTAAGTATTGAATAAGGCTTCCTTTGTTCATCGTGTTCTCTGTTAATCATGTCAAACATCTCCATCGTGGAAGGCCCTCTGTTCATTGTTGTGAGCCCACGCGAGGCGTTCAAGGTCGTGCAATCCACTGGATTGCTCAACCTTGGGTGGCCTAACCGACGCGACGTCTCGGTCGCACAACCCAGGTGACGCCTCGCCTAGGCCACTCAAGGTCCCGTAACCCTCAGTGCCACCTCACCTCGATTGCGTGACCTCAGGCAACATTTGATCTGCACATAAAGGGCTTGGGCGACCCTTGATATGGCGACATCCGACATGCCTCGACCTCGGTGACGCTTGAGATGGTGACCATCAGCCTTCGTGGCCCTCGATGAGTCTCACTGACCCTCGACTCTCTAGATCTTGCCTTAGCCGCGACCCTTTAGATCTAATAGATCTACGACTATCGATGATGCTCGGTGACCCTCAGCCATCGTTAGCGACCATCAGTGATAG